TAAAATTTACGTCAATTACATGTTCCGGGAAGACATCAGAGTCAAATCTTAACAAAATATGACAGAAAAATATATGACTACTCAAAAATCGCGAGTAGTATAATTTGATGCAGTGTATGTGACACAATAAGTGTGGGTGAGTATCATGTGCTGCAGTAGTTTTTTTCAGCAAGCTTGCAGTCTGACGATCAACGGACACAGAGGAGTCGTCGGGATCCCTCTTTTGTTTAACCGCTGGGCCAAAGTGCATTCGGTGGAACGAGGCATAAGCCTGCTGTAGGATACATGGTGACACATCTGGGTGTGCCAGATGTTCCACTTCCTCCCGTGGCATGCTACAATTTTGGAGTTGGAGAATACGGAAGTATAAAACAATATCATTTATTCGTTTTATTTCTACTGTCTACATACATCATATTACAAGAACTACCTCTCCACTTGAACCCCTTTTTTCTTCGACTTCATATTAGCAAAACTTTAAATCCGTAATCTAGGATACACATGGTGTGCTTAAAAACTGGACTCATTTATTGGGATAATTTTTTGCGTTGGGACAAGTTAACCGTCACAAAAATCGATTTAATATCAGTCAGAATTACAGGGTGACAAGCGTAGGGCACTTTCGATGAAGTTCTAGCCATCGATACATCCTTAGATAAAACTCGCACTCGGATGAAATTTGACCTCGCTGATGGTAAGATGCGGCACTGGGAAGTCCCATCCACGCATACTCGATAAACGGGGTTTGGAAATGGCCTGTGCTTCTGAATCCCCAGGAATACATGGAAAACTGAGGGAATAAATATATATTCACGCTATATACCTGTAGGTGTGGACAGTTTTTTGGTCGGCCGTCTATACATGGAGACGTTCTGCTTCTCACCCCCTTTTTGTTTTGTTTATTTTATGTGGTAGGCAAACAGGTACGGAGACAACATAGATTCGTAGTGAAAACGATACGCACCAGGACTTCAGACCTTTAACTAACAACGTAAAAGCGTCTCTTTTGGTTCTGAGGAAGATTTGAGATGAACAGGGGCTACGCCATATATCTTTTAGTGTTTCATTATTTGCCAAACTCGGGGTCGGTACTTCTGTGGTGGAGTTTGGACAGTGAGCTTCTGCAAAATTCGAAGATAAATAATTACTTTTTTTCAAAAGCTTTAGGGAGCAGGTTCGCGTTTTAATACTTACAAATGATGCTGAGGATGAGGAGAAAATTCAGAGCACCAGAAAAAGTAATTAAGCTATCCGGGCTTCCGTACTGAGTTTGGAGTTAATTTTCAGAAGAACGTGAGAACCAATAAAGTAAACACTTGCATGGGGAGTCCAGCCAGTCCACATGATTGACTGTTTTGACCTTTTTTGGAGACGCCAACCCTGGGGTTAAAGTAGTTCCTTCAGCTTGGCCGCGTAGGTCTTGGTATGGGTAATCGAGGTGGAACTCGATCAGTTTGTTACTTGTGTAATAAATTAATCTCCTTGGTGTTAAATGTCCACGCCTCATTACTGTAAGAAATTCCTTAGATACGAATATCTTCGTGGACTACGACCTATATCATTGCGTGTAAATGTTTACTATTCCCTATTACATTTCACAACACGCGAGTGTTTAACTCGGCTCTCTGATTCATATATTCCATGCCTAACTGACACCACCTCGAATATTCTATATATCCTGCCTGTAACTGACTCTAAACTGTGAAATAGCCACAAATCCCCATGCCTGTATGTTTTAGTTTGTCGGTATTCCTTCTGCGATATGGCTTATTGGTCGCTATGCGAGCATCCTAGTCAAGCTGGAAAAATATTGTTGAAACTTCATCTCCTCTTAAAACGCACAACATAAAGTGAAAACTTTTCACTCTAGCCCGTGTTCCTTTTCGGGGCTGAACTGGCCTGGACAAATGGAAATATCAAATAAAAGGATATGAACCTGAAAACCTATTATGGGGATGTGATGAATGATTGTTAATTCCGCATAGCTTTTAGTCAAGGTTCAGTTAGTTATTGTCATTCTAATTTCACCATCCTATTTTTTGACAAACTGAGACTAGGCATTGGCACTCATTGATGAACTTTCATCTGACCAGTAACGGAACTCATCTGTCCCGCTCTGTCCGGGGTCTCGACAGAGGCCCTGACGGCCGTAGCAGCTGGTAGTGTAGGCAGACAGTATTACCGGCAAAGATAATAGAAACTGTAAAGAAGAGGAAGA